CTCGTGATCCACCCGCCTCGGCCTCCCACAGTGCTGGGATTACAGGCGTGAGCCACCGCGCCCGGCTACCCTGGAACATTTTTGAAAGGAATAACTTGGCAAACTCCAAACAGAGGCTCCAGTTTGGTACCAGGATAAAACCAACTTGTCCTAGTTTCCCCAAGACGATCCCATTTTTAAAACTGAAAGCCCCAACGTGGAAGCAACCCCTGGGTCTACTGGTGGATGAATGTACAAACAGAATATGGTATAGCCATACTGCTACAGCTTGAATGCTTTTGTCCCCTCCAAAATTCATGTTGAAATGTCATCCCCAATGCAACACTATTGAGAGGTATGGTCATCAGGAGACGACTGAGTCAGAAGGGCATTAGGCATCCCTTGGGAATGGGTTTGATGCAGGGAGTCTGCCCTTCCCTTCCCATCCCTCTCCCCACGGGAGGACACACTGTTCCTCTCCTCCACAGGACGCAGCAGCAAGGCAGCATCTCAGAAGCAGAGAGCAGCCTCGGACAGATGCCAAACCTGCTGGCACCCTGATCTGGCGCTCCCAGCCTCCGGAACTGTGAGAAGTAAGTTTCTGTTCTCTATGAATTACCCAGTCTCAGGTATTTTCTTACAGCAGCACAAATGGACTAACGTACAAACAATGGGATATTATTCAGCCTTAAAAAGGAAGGAGATTCCGACACACGCTACGGCATGGAGGAGCCGTTAGTATAGGATGCCAAGTAAAATAAGCCAGGCACAAAAGGACAAATGCTGTACAATTCTACGGACAGCAGGTAACCAGAGCAGTCAAGTTCACGGAGACAGAAAGTAGAATGGTGGTCATCAGGACTGGAGGAGGGGAGTGGGGAGTTGATGAATGCGAGCAGAACTTCAGTGTGGGAAGATTAAAAGAGGTCCGTGGATGGACGGTGGCGATGGTTGCACAACATTATCAATGAATTGAATGCCAATCAACTATCCACTTAAAAAAGATCAAGATGGTAAATTTTATGTTCTGCACAGTTTGTCACAATTAAAATAATAGAAATGTTTAAAACGAAACAAAAAGCCCCACACCGACGGACAAAGCAGAACACCGGTCATGCACCCCTGAGGAGGCCCTCACCTGAGCCAGCAGCCAGTCCACCAGCTTGCTCCCAGGAAGCACTGACTTGTAGGTCTTCAGGTGGTAATCACGGTCTCTGCGGAGAAGGTGAGCGCACAGTGAGCAGGGCAGGGCAGGGCAGGGAGGACGGAGAGGGCAGTGGTCCTGACTTCCCTGCTGGACGTGCCCAGGAGTCAAGGATCTCCAGGCTCTCTAGGCATTGGGCAAGGGTCCAAGTCTCAGCTCAGATTCCACACTTCATTTGCTGTGTGATGGAGGGCATGGCTGTTCTAAACCAGGCCTCCTTCCAGCTACAGAGTGGGGGGCAGGAAGCAGCAGCTCTAGGGCTCTGGAAACTTTGTCTCTAGCCCAGGAGATTGCTGGAGACATTTCTGGCTGTCATGACCTGGAGGGGCTGCGGCAGGGGTGCTGCTGGCAACCCGTATGTAGAGGCCGGGGATGCTGCTGAAGATCCCACAACACCAGGACAGCCCCCAACAGAGACTTATCCTGGCTAAGATGTCACCAGCACCGAGGCTCGGGAGCCACGCTAACGCTCACAGAGTGGCAGGGGAGACCCCCCCATTCTTTCCTTTTTTTCTTTTGTTTTGTGATTGGCACTGATGTGTTTAAACCAAACTGACATGGGAAGCCCATGGAAGGGGCTCGTGGAGTCTACTAGGACTGGGCAGCACAGAGGCCTGTGGGTCTCATGGTTCTTTCCTGAGGTAACTGACCTGGCCTGTTACAGCATCTGAATCCCGGCTGAGCCTGGGTCCTGTGAGCTCTGCTAACCTTGCAGCGAAACTGCAACAACCTCTCAGGCTTTGAAGCTGACAAAGATGAGCTTCTGTGGCCGGTCCATGTCAAGGCTGATAAAGTCTAATTGGGGGATTTCTCTCAGGCTTTAGGACTGGGGGGTCTGACAGGCCCCATGTGCAGTGGGTGGGGATCTGCTGCCTTCCCCAGCAGCTTCCTTCCTTGGAGCTGGCGGAGGAGTCCCACCTGCCTTCTGGGGCTTGCACGGGAGCAGCAGCAGAGGAGCCCGGGAGGGCGGGGGCAGGATGGCAGAGGGAGTACAGTGTCAGACCCCCCAGTCCTAAAGCCTGATAGAAATCCCTCAACTAGACTTTATCAGCCTTGACATGGACTGGCCACAGAAGTGGTTCCCAGGGCCTGACCTCCCACAGGGCCAGGAAATGGTCTTTCCTCTCTACACTTCCCAGAGGTGATAAGAGCTATCAGGTCAGGGGGACAGAGAAATCTGCAGATGGGATAAGAATCAGGTCACCTTCTCTCCCTTCATCCACAACTGTGAGCTGTATGATAAAAAGAATAACCAATCACTGGTGTTTATTATACAATGCCAGGAGCCATTCAAAGCACCTTCCATGAATTTAGTCCTCATGACAACGCAAGAGGCGTGAGCTATTCTTATGGCCATTTCACAGATGCAGAAACAGAGGCAAAAGAAGTTAATCTTTCAACATTCACTGACAAGCCTTTACTGAGTGCCCTAGGCCTCTGCTCTCCAATACTTATCCATTTCAACATAAATTTCAATCAATTAGGACAGGCAAGGTGGCTAACACCTGTAATCCCAGCACTTTGGGAGGCTGAGGCAGGCAGATCATTTGAGGTCAGGAGTTTGCGACTAGCCTGGCCAACCTGGTGAAACCCCGTCTCTACTAACAATACAGAAATTAGCCAGGCGTGGTGGTGTACACTTATAATCCCAGCTATTCAGGAGGCTAAGGCAGGAGAATCACTTGAACCCAGGAGGCAGAGGTTGCAGTGAGCCGAGATTGTGCCACTGCACTCCAGCCTGGGCAACTAAGTGAGACTCCGTCTCCATCTCAAAAACATAAAAAATAAATTTCAATCAATTAATATTAAGCCAAATTAAAAATCACATTCCTCAGTCTCAAGGTGCAGCTCAGGGTCAAGGGACAAGGCAGAGAAGAGTTCCTCCCCTTGCCAGGTCTACAGTTCACTAGGGGAGAAAGACAGTGCACAGATCAACATACAAGAGGTCAAGCAGAGACAAGTTTTAAGAAGAAAACTAGGCTGGGCACAGTGGCTCAGGCCTATAATCTCAACACTTTGGGGGAAGATGAGACTGGAGGGTCACTTGAGCCCAGGAGCTCAAGATCAGCCTGGGCAACATGGCGAGACCCAGTCTCTACAAAACATAAAAAATGGCTGGACGCAGTGCCTCACACCTGTAATCTCAGCACTTTGGGAGGCCAAGGCAGGCGGATCACTTGAAGTCAGGAGTTCGAGACCAGCCTGGCCAACATGGAGAAACCCCATCTCTACTAAAAGTACAAAAATTAGCCAGGCATGGTAGCAGGCACCTGTAAACCCAGCCACTCAGGCAGCTGAGGTGTGAGAATTGCTTGAACCCAGGAGGCAGAGGTTGCTGTGAGCCAAGATCACTCCACTGCACTCCAACCTGGGGGATAGAGTGAGGCTCTGTCTCAAAAATAAAAATAAAAAAATAAAAAATTAGCCAGGCATGGTGGTGCACACTTGTATTCCCAACTACCTGGGAGGTTCAGGTGGGAGGACTGCCTGAGCCTGGGAGGTTGAGGCTGCAGCGAGCTGTGACTGCATGATTCCACCACTGCACTCCAGCCTGGGTAGCAGAGAGAGACCCTGTCTCAAAAAAAAAAAAAAAAAAAAAAGATGACGATGACAACTAAAGTGAAGAAAGGGAGGTGATATGGTTTGACTGTGTCCCCACCCAAATCTCATCTTGAATTGTAGCTCTCATAATTCCCACATATTTTGGGAGGGACCCAGTGGGAAATAACTGAATCATGGGAGAAGTTTCCCGGATACTGTTCTCGTGGGAGTGAGATGGTTTTATAAGAGGAAACCCCTCTCACTTGGCTCTCATTTTCGTTTTGCCTGCCATGTAAGACGTGCCTTTCACCTTTCTCCATGATTGAGAGACCTCCCCAGCCATGCGGAACTGTGAATCCATTTAACCTCTTTTTCTTTATAAATCACCCAGTCTTGGGGATGTCTTTATTGGGAGCACGAAAACAGAATAATACAGAAGACAGTACCAGGGAGGTGACACTTTATATAGGTGGGCAGGGAAGACCCCTGTGATATGGAGGCATTTAAAGGAAGTAAAAGAACGAATATGAAGGTATGCAGGGGAAAAACATTCTGAGCAGAGGGAACAGCAGGCACAAAGGCCCTGAGGTGGAGCCCATTATTATCCCCATTCCACAGAGGAAACAACTGAGGCACAGATGGTCAAGTAAGTCTGCCCAAGGTCACACAGCTGCTAACTACGAGGCAGGTTCAAGCTCAGTCTGTCTGGCTCCAGAACTGACATCCCGCATCACTGCACTGCAGTGCTTCCCACAACTTAACTCACTTAACCCTGTAGGGTAGGTGCCATTGCGAGCCCCATTTAATGGAGAAGGAGACTGGGGGCTCAGAGAGCTGGCCACACAGCCAAGAAGAGGTAGAGGTGAAAGTGGAGCTTGGAAAGAGTAACTTACTTGATCACCGGGGTGTAGAGGCTGTGAAGACGGCAGTAAAGCCTCACACCCTGAAAGAAAAAAGGGGAGGAATTCTGGGATCAGGTCACATCTTTGATGAGCCTCCAAATCCAGGCTGATGGGAGAGATGGCTTCCAGGACAGGGCAGGGCAGGTTGATGGGGGCAGGGGTGAGGTGGGGGCAGTGGCAGAGGCAAACAGGCCAAGGGGCACAGGCCTGCTCTGTGGCAAACTCAGGGTGGAGGTAAACGAGGCCGGCTGAGTCAGGGTCACAGGTGCAGAGGGCCCCTACCTTGGACATGATGTCCTCCAGCTCACTTCGGGCCTTGTAGGTGCCATCGTCGTAGCGGAAACGATACATCACCTGCTCATTCTTGAACTGGTGCTTGTCGGAAACTGGAGAGACAAGAGGACCTGTGTGGCTGGGCATGGTCCCTCGGCCCCTCCTGGCCACGACCACCAGCATGAGCCTTCACTCCATCAGCCACGCCTCTCGGTTCCTGGCCACGCCCACCAGTGTCAGCCTTCACTGCTTGCCAGGCTTTAGAGGTGGGTGCTAGGACTTCCCCATTTTGCACAGGAGGATACCCTATCCTCCTGCTACATGCAGGGCCCTACTGAGACTCGAAGCTTGGGATGGGGCATCTGCAGGGGTAAGGGATCCAGAAATGCCTCGATCCAGCTTGCACTGGGACCCCTCTGGCTCAGTACATCCTTGGATCTAGATCACCAATGGATGTGTGGGGACAAGCGTGCTGGGGCCTGAGACCACACTGCTGAGATTTACAGAGCCATCTCTATCCCACAAGTCATCCTTGACGTTTCAGATCCATTAGCAATGCCTATAAGGCCCTAACCTTCAAGATATCAATCATATCACCCAAAATCTCCACTCAGATATCAATCAGTCATCTATCAATCACGTCACTCATATCAATCATCTCACTCAGACATCAATCATCTCACACAGCTATCCATCATCTCACTCAGACATCAATCATCTCACTCAGATATCAATCAATCATCTCACTCAGATAACAATCATCTCACTCAGATATCAATCATCTCACTCAGACATTAATCATCTCACTCAGATATCAATCATCTCACTCAGATATCAATCAGTCATCTCACTCAGATATCAATCATCTCACTCTGATATCGATCATCTCACTCAGACATCGATCATCTGACTCAGATATCAATCAATCATCTCACTCAGACATCAATCATCTCACTCAGATATCAATCATCTCACTCTGATATCGATCATCTCACTCAGACATCAATCATCTCACTCAGATATCAATCAATCATCTCACTCAGACATCAATCATCTCACTCAGATATCAATCATCTCATTCCTACCCTGGCCCGAACCACCTTCGCCTCCCACCTTGACTATCACAGCAGCCTCTTTGCTCGGCTTCCTGCTGTCACCCTTGGTCCCAACAGTCTCCCCAGGGCAGCCAGAGGAATTCTACCAACATGTTTATCCAAACAGGTCTTTCCTCTCTACAGAGCTCAGCCGCACCTTCACAGCTCACTCAGAGTAAAAGCCAAAGACACTACAATTCTCTACAGGATCTGATCTCACCTCCTCAACTCTCCCACCAGCCCTGTGCCCTCTGACCTCGTCTCCTACCACACCCCCTCCTCACTCTGAGGCAGCTACACTCCCTCCCTGCTATTCCCTGCACAACTCACTTAGACTCTGCCTCTGCACTTGCTGTTCCCTCTGCCTGGAACCATGATGCCCACCTGGGTCTGCTCCTCACTGGTGGCTCAGGTCCTGGTTCCAATGTCACCTTCTTGGTGAGGCCTTCCCCATTTCCCCTATTCAGAAATGAACCCCAACA